ACACACACACACACACACACACACACACACACATACACACACATACAAACATCAGTGTACACACATACAGTACACCCCACACAAACAGACAATAAACAGAAACTTTTGCATACATTAACAGCCTCATGTCTAATGTTAGCTGAGAGACTCGTGTCTCTTAGCAGTTGGTATGAAATGGTAAAGACGTCTCACACCAGCGAAGTAAAAACGAACATTTGATCAACAGAGTGACGCAACATGATCGCATTTCAAAGTCAACCCACATCAAACTCCTGTGGTAGCACAGCGAGCTCACAAAGTGAACCGAACTCCCAAGTGATATGCCAAAAACTGTGCATAATTCAAAAACCTCCGAGTTCAAGAACATCCAAATCTGAAAGACGTCGCTCAATGGATCAAACAACAGGTACTTCCCTTTAAAATATTTAACACGCAAAAAGGGCCGTGACGTCGATTTGAAGGTTAGGTTTGCCTTTCATCTCGCCACATACTGCGATCTACATCCTTAACTTTGTGATTTCTTATTTTGACTTGGGAAAGAAAACATTCTTTAAATATGGATCATGCTTGGTGCCTTCTTTTATCCATCAGCCCATGCTGAGACAATGTAAGATGGCAAACAACTGAATCATTGAATGCAGGAGGAATATCTCACCCTGAGGTCTCCGTTGGCCAGATGTGCCGCAGGATAGGAGGCATAGATGGGCTCTTTGCGATAGATTTTAATGATACTGCGGTCCTGTATGTCCCTCACGTCCTCCAGCTCGTAGAAGACATTCCTCGCTTCGTCTTTGATCAAGATGGCCGTGTTCGGGGACTTCAGCATTCCCGCTGTCAGCTTCTGAGGGAACATGTGCACGATAAGTGCGTGCAAGGTGTCCAAACTGTTGAGCTCGTGAGTGATATGAACACGTCTGGTCTCATCGCCAAACTGCAGGAAAAGGACACCTGAGGAGAGAGAAGGAGAGAAGTAAGAAGAAAGTCAAGAAAGACCACCATGATCAACATGAAAATGGTGAAGCATACGCTCCTAAATGTGAGATTTGTGCATTTGAATGGCATATAAAATTGTAATCTATTACCTTTACGCAGTTTTATTATAAACTAACAAACTTAATGTGATGTATACAGTATTTATCAGTTATACATAAACGAAAGAGGTAAGATTTCTGTAACAGTGCTAATAAACTGAATGCGTTTTAAACATTGAAAAAACAGCCTCAATACATAAATCCAATTACTTTCTGACTGATACATTTTAACTAATTGAATTTGGCTTGTTCCACATCTTATGCCATATTCATACTTTTCTAACTGAATGAATTCAAATGTTTTTCACAATGAACAGATTTATGCAGATTCTAAGCAATCTGAATGAATGCATTTAGAAGAAAAGATTGTTTAAAATAAAATCAAATAGATGAAAATTGCTGTTAATAAACTGTGCAGAAATCTTACCTGCTGCTTATCTGTTTTATTTATGTGTGACTGACAAATATAAAGTGTGAAAAGCATCACATTAGGTTTATTAGTCTATGTTAAAACTGTGTAATCCAAATGGATGTCAATTTTATATGCAATTCAATTGCATAAATCATAAATTTGATAAAGTGTTGTAAACTGCTGTGAGAGAGAGAGAGTGACAGACAGATTTTAGGAGGGATGTCAGTGACAGCAAGTCGCTCATTCAGGGTTGCTGACCTCCTACTGCAGACTTTTTGTCATTAGTTTTTGTCAGTTTATCTCGGCGCACTTCACCTAAAGGGACATCAGGCGATCCTAAATTTCCTGCTGATGGGACAATAATCTCTCTGTGGGGAAGAGCTCCAACCGAATCACTTTCAGCAAATATTGTGCGCTTGCTGCTAACACACACTCAGCTATAAAAGTTCAACAACACTGTATCACATCTAAGAGATACTTCGCACCATGGAAACCAAAGCTAAAAAACAAACTGTTGAAGGTCAGTTCATATGAATGCATTGTACTGCTGTAATTAAAGCACTGCTATTAACTATCAATGAGTAGGAAACATTTCACAGTATCTAATTGCAGGACAGCGAAATGTCATCTTCTGCCAAAAGCAAACCAGAACAGTGGGGCACATGTTTTTTTTCCACTGATTCATTTATACCACCCAACCCATTCAAACAAAGTGATTCAACAGAATGAATCAGACTTTCCATCACAGCAAATGAAAAACAACAGAATGTGTTTAATTATTGTGTCATCTCACTCAACTGTAAAGCTGCACGCACAATACAATGTGACATTTAAAGAAGTAATGCAGCACCGTGTCACATCACTATTAAAAATAGCACAGATATTTCCTGAGGTTAATCTGATTGCAACTTGAACTGTTCTTGTACTCCGAGTTATTTGCAAGGAAATATTTATCATAATGAATACTTAACTGTCTATCAAACATTCAAGTAACTTTCTGCATAACCTTTGGGATGATGTTTACATTTTAACAAAGCGTTTTGATTTGAATTGCGCCCAGAAATGGTTTTGAAATCGTTTCTCAAGAGGCTTAGAGGCACTGCTGTTAAATTTAAATTGGTTATGCAGTAACAGTTCAGAAGAGTTTCATAAACAATAATTGTATTTGAAAGTTACAGGAAGTCGATTGGATGAATAAGAGGCACTAGTGAAGTTGTTTCATTTTCTATTATTTATGGGCTTTGTAGGCCATTGCAGGCCTTAACAGAAGAGAAGTATGTGGAAAATTGTGTACACTACCATTCAAAAGTTTGGGGTCAGAAATCATTTTAATGTTTTTTAAAGTCTGCATTTATCTGATTAAAAATACAGTAAAACAGGGATTTTGTAAAATACTATTGCAATTTAAAATAAATGTTTTCTATTTTAAAATATCTTAAAATGTAATTTATTCCTGTGATGTTAAAGCTGAATTTTCCAGTCTTCAGTGTCACATGACCCTTCAGAAATCATTAAAACATGCTGATTTGCTGCTCAAGAAACATTTCTTATTATCAATGTTGAAAACAGTTGCTTGCTGCTTAATATTTTTGGGAAAACAGTGATACACTTATTTAGAATTCTCTGATGAATAGAAAGTGTAAAAAACAGCATTTATTTCGAAATCTTTTGTAATATTATTCATGTTTTTACTGTCACTTTGGTCAATTTTATGCATCTTTGCTGAAAAAGTATTCATTTCTATCCAAAAAAAATAAAATAAATCTTACGCACTGACACTAGTAAAGTTGATAACTTATTCTTTTTTATGTTTATGTGGGCATAAGCGTATTTGAGTGTCAGGTAAAGATATATGTTGAAGGTATATGTTACCTGGAGAGCGTAGTTTATTCTGGCTTGCAGAGCGGGAGAGTGGGAGGCTCTGACGGAAACGGTTCATGCGGTTGAAGCCCAGCGGCATGTCGGCCTCAGACATGGTCTCCAGAGACTCAGCAGATGCGAAGGACAGTTTAGACGCCTGGTCTGCCAAACCTGACTGAGTGGACTGGGAGTGACGTGGACTACGGCTCTAAATGACAGAGAGAGAGAGCGAGAGAGAGAGATTTCCAGCATTTTAAATGGCATGATGTAAAAGGCAGACATTATTTACTCACAAGGAGAAACCAAAAGCAAATTCCTCCACACTGTAAAATCCAATAGTTTACCTTACTTAGATTTAATTAGTAATCTTTACTTAGTTGTTATACTTACTAGGTTTTATTAAGTTACAGCTACTTTCAAGGCAAATAAAACAATTTACTTACTGTTTTGAGTGACACTTACTTCAAATATTCAAGTAGCCACAAAGGAACCAATGACATTAATAAACCAGTGAGAGGCAGCAGTGCACTAATATGTTGCTAATGTGCAACATAACAACAGAAGAAGAAGAAAAGAAAGAGTCGTAATAGACTTTTAGAGTCTTGATAGACCCATTTCCTCCATGTCTGCAGTTATCTTTCACTAGTTGCATTCACTCGTTTCCCAGTCATCTTGAATGTTGAATTTTCAATACAACTGAAATATTTGAGAGAACATCACATAAGCTGACTTCATAAATTAATGGCGATTTTCCTAAAATGTTTTTTGTATTTTTTTTTATGCACCATTATAGTGATTAGTGTTCCCTTTGGTTGGGCACTTGGAACTTTGTTTATGCTACTATAATTATCTTCCCGTTAATGCAGCAATGCATCGTGAAGGCAGAGTAATTTGGCTTCAAGGGAAGAAAAGTAATAAATAGGTTGCTTTTAGAAGGTGACCTATCTTATAATTAAATCAATGTGTTATTTTTTTGTGCTTGTGTTAGTCATTGAACTTCTGCAAAATTTATTTTTCATAAATACATTAAGAAGCTTAAAATTGGGTTTATATAATTCTTAAATAGTGTGTGGTAATATACTAAAGTCACACACAGACTTAAACATTCAGCACGTGAACACAGACTTAAACATTCAGCATGTGAATCACAACAATGGTAACAGTTCAATTTCATTTATTTTAATTAATTGTAACAATAACCATTTTATTTGCTCTTTTTGTTGTGCTACTACTGACACAAGACAGCAAGTAAAATTGGCAAATAAAAACAACAACTGTAAAACAAAGCAACTGCATAATTTATTCATGCCGCAATGCACTCTGGGAGTCAGTGAGTAGCTATACTAAGTCATGAGTAAACCTAAACGAAAGGATCAAGTACCCCCTACAGTTCTTTTTTAGTTACTAGAACTCGCGTGCAAGTAAACTATACTAACTAAGCATTTGTCAGTACAACATACTATTCCTATTTCACTTTACTTAGTTTTTTCAAGGCAATCGGTTTGCATGCTTTTTTAAAGTAAGCCCAACTAATTCGATTTTACAGTGCAACCAGAGTAAATTACACCTAAACCTCCCAAGTTTGTACTCAAGCTCAGGGTGAGAAAGTAAGGCAGATAAAAAGTACCTGATTCTCTGTTTGTGTAATGATGGGAAAAACAATGCATTGACAGGAAAATCACTCACACACAAACAAGTCTCTATGGATATGTCTCTACCAACAGACTGAGACGCTAACTATTACACAGAACAAAACAGTCTGCCTCACTATAGCATATACAGTAATGGTGAATCACACATCTGTGGTTTCTGTTTATTTTGTAGCATTTAATAAAGAGGATCCACACAACCGCATCCTGGTGTGTTTCACGAGCTCAGAGACACCTGTAATGAGCTCCCAGGGTGCACTGGGGAAAGACTGGCAAGCTGGTTTGCAGAGCAGGACACATCCACAGAGCGCCATCACCATACATCAAATCTATTCTCCTCTGTACTGCAAAAAAATCTGCTTCTAAATCAGCATTTTTCCCTTTTTTAAAGCTGAACATATTTAAAACTAGACAAATTTACTTGAAAAGTGCGTTTGTGTAACAAATATTATTTTCAGAGAATATAAAACATCGTGCAAAAGTTTGGGTTCCTTAAGATATTTTAATGTTTTTGAAAGCTCAACAAGACAATTTGACCAAAACAGAACAAAATTAATACTGTGAAATTTTGATTATAATGTAAAATAACTGTTTCATTGTAATATATTTTAAAATATAATTTATTATTGTGATGGCAAAGCTGAATTTTCCAGTAATTTGTCCAGTCTTATGATCCTTAATAATGTAATTACAATTTTTGGTTTGTTTTTCGTAAAAGTCGTTACTGTCAGTTTGTATCCAATCAATGCATCTTTAATGAAAAAAAGTTTTTGTTTTTTTTTAGAAAAAAAATCTTACCGACCCCAGACATTTCAACAGTAGTGTATATCTTGAATTACAGTTAATAAACAATTATTTTTTCTTGTTTTAACCATAAATTGAATAACATTTAGAGAAGTTTATACTAGATTTAATTCATGAAAAGTGAACAAAAACAAATCAGCTAATTCACATTTATAAAAAGAAAACTTATAAAAGCAGAGTGTGTTATTTACACGCAAGGTAAAAGCTCAGACACACACACACATAAATGCTGAGGCACAGAAGCAGTGCTGTGTCCGTTCCCTTGCAGACAGTGTCTGAGCGTAAAGGGGCCAAGTTGAGCTGATAGATGACCCCCCCAGTGTAACTATAATGGGGTCATTTATCCACAACAGAGAGCAGTCCGGTTGCTACTCATACACAAACGCACATACATACATACATCTATAAAATAAGAGCTTGTTTATCCACACAAAGATACATAGCCATGTAGCTTTCATGTATCCCATGCTAAACTAAATGCTATACAAAAAAATGTCCCTTTTTCAGGACACAAAAGTTTGCTGCTGCTCACACCATACAGTATTATTATAGCACAGTTTGTGCTGTTACAGTGTAATCAGACTTTAGACATGAATGTTTTTAAGATACTGCAAAAAGCACAAATGTCAGGGCATGTCAAAACTTCTCCAGGGCCCCAAAACCCCCTCAGACCCTTGTGGGTTATGGATAATTTTGAAAAAAATCCAAATAAGCTTTACAGATCTGTATTGCAAAGGGTTTAAACAATATTTTCATACTTGTTCAATGAGCTATAAACCATTTTTGCACATGCACCTTACGGTTTACAGGCAGCAGGCAATTAAGTTCACAGTTATAATAATGTCTGTAATGTGAGATTACGACTAGCCTAAAACAGGGAGACAGGAAGGACAGCTGATCGTCCTTGCAGGCCAAATCACGTATCCAAGTGTCCCCCCAGACATGTGCAATGCCTTGGTGGAAGAGTGGACTAACATCTCACAGCAAGAACTGGTAATCTGGTGCAGTCCATAAGGAGGAGAAGCTCTGAAGTAATTAAAGCAGTTGGTGGACACATCAAATGCCTGTGAAACTTGTTCAGTTTACGACTGAGTTACGAACAAGTCATAAACTAGTTTAAATTTTTATATTAAAAATATTTACATGTTAAGAAACTTGCTGGAAATGAAAGCAGTTGAAAGTGAGAGGATGTTTCTTTCTTGCCGAGTTTATAACGCGAACATGAATCTGATATGAGGTTTGACTGCATCGTATGATGAATTTTGTAAAGGGAATCTCTTTATGATCCCAAAATACACATTTTTTGAGAAAAGGACAAATATGAGTAACTACAGATCAGAAGCTAAGGAATGATGGGACACATTGCTGCAGGTAAGAGCACAGACATCCAAATGTGTAAACTGCTGATACTTTCCATATACTGCAGATGAAATACATTTGGGCTTTCATAAATACTTTAATTCTGACTGTTGGCCAACTCTCAGTTGTTCTGATGTGGTTTCAAACCTGAACCAAACTGAGGGAGAAAACGCAGCACACTGTTAATCAATGCTCCAAGCGAAAACACCCTTAAGACCATCCACATAATCAAGATCTCCTTCTCTCTCAAGCACTAATGCACTTTTAAACGGCTTTTTGTCAAATGCAATAAACAAACCAGCTCTCAAGTTTCCTTTCGAATTTGTATCTGCGTCAATAAACGTGTCAGTGTGTCATATCACCTTCCTAAAGTGCCTGTATTTTCTGAATTAAACAGAATCAGGGATCCCTGCAGGATTCTCTGCAATAAATCTCCACCTTCATCGCACACACACACACTTCAGTTCTGTTCCATCAGCAGGAAGGAGGACAACCTCATGCCAAAATATACATCTGACTAGAAAATGAAATGAAGGTAACAGCATCTGACAGGACTGTAGCGTGAATGGCATACGATTACGGTAAATACAGATGCAGCTGAGAAATCCACTACAACAACAGAAGCAGTAATACTAAATGCAACCTGAGGCAGTACAAATCTGAGAATGAAATCACTTAGTTATTCGCTCATTCACTATATACTGAGAACCACACAGTGAACAAACAAACTTCGAATAAAATACCATGCAACAATGAAATTAATCATAATAAAATGAAGGAGTTAAAGTCAAAATAGGGCACAATGTTCTGAAAGGAATTTATTTTTCACATGTTTTACCAGTATTTGGAATTGTACACTGCATTGCATTGTTTTAGAGTTAACGGAAATGTCCTTAAAATTAATGGATACATTTCCATGTAATGAGCTGTCAGTACTTTTTCTTTTATTTGTTTGCATATGTTTTGGAATAAAGTATACAACATTGTTTAGCTGTTAAGAGAAATGTGCCCAGAGGAATATTTTAATGCACAAATATTACACTTAGTTCAGGAGACAAAATCAAATTCTCAGTTTGTGTTTAATTCACCTTGTTTTATAATCCTTTATAATCCTAACGAGCAATAGTGGTAAAAAGATTGAGCTTGTTGGCTTTATATTATGTTATACATAATATATGAATATATATACATACATACATATTACACACACACACATTTGTGCTTATACTAAAAATCCTGACAAATTTAAATTAACGTGGACAGCATAGCCTACATCAAGTTTTTGAAATATGAGCTCATGTCGACATCTCTGATTATTTAAAGCTGAGCACAGTATTATTGAGGTCTATTTTGAAGCTCTTCTAACATTTGAGATTACCATTATCTTTTTCTTATGAGAAAAACCTGAGAAAAAGACTAAAATCTGAGTATGAACACCTAAGCAAAAGTCTCCATTAGTTCTCCATTTAATTTCATTGCCGATTAAGATATTACAGAAACCTCTTTTGTGCGTGTGGGAATGAACAAAAAAAAAAGAGAGAGGCATATTTTTCTATCCTTGTACATGAGAGAAGTGTGTCTATTTCAGATTGATGGGAGACATAGTATAATATAAGATATAATGTGCACAATTTTATTAAAATAACATGAACTATTACAAAGAGACAAGGAAAACGAATGAGATAGAGAGAGAGAAAAGGAAAGAAAATAATTGCTCTTGAGAATAATCTTTCTCTCTCTCTCTCCTGCTATTGTTAGACACAGGCTGAAGGCACAGCAGAAATTGCTCCAGCAAATTGCAGTAGATTGTGGCCTATTCAGTCCAATGCTGAGAGAGGCAGGGAAAGCAGGGAAATGGTAAGCTGGTAGGTGGTCATAAAATGGCGGCATTCTCTGCACTTATCGTTGGGGACTAATAGCAATGATGAAGACTGAAATGATAAGAGGAAGGGAA